TTATTAACCAATATTTATATTAAATATCATTAATAGGAGTTAAACTTTGTAATTAGCAAACAGGAATAAATCTCATATATAACCATCTGCCTTTTCAATCTTACTTGCATAGGCAAAGTTTAAACAATGTCAAGGTAAAAATCGGATATAAAATGAATCCAGAGTTTCTAAAATGGCATTGAACAGCTACTTCATATAAAGTTTAAATAAAACTGGGCAGGTATAAATAGAGGTTTGAGAGAAATGTATTACTTCAATTCATGTGGACATTTAAACAAACACATAGATGGCACAAATAAAAAGAGTAAACTACACAATGGGAAGATGGAATCATCAATTAGATGAACTATTCTTATAAAAATAGTACCTGGTATATCACAATTATAAAAATCAACCTAAATACATATATCACTATAAATCTCCTTTCAAATGAAATTGAATATGGATTTTGTTGAATATTGTTCTTGGGTTCATGCTTATTCAAAACAGCTGAATAATTTTGTCTTGAATATTCAACTAAAGTAGTAATTGTGCGGACATTTACAAATACAATATGGGTTCTATAGTTTTTACAATCAGTGAACACAATCAATTACTAAGATGATATGCGAACAACTAAACCAAAAAAATAATATAGGACTTACTAAATAAAAAAGAATAGGGTAATAGAAACTTACCAGATGGAGGCCAAGAAGACTGTAGATCGTGAAATCAACTCCGGAAAGAATTTAAGAATTGATGGATACTTCTTCTCACTTGAATCGACTATGAAAATTTATCACTTAGGGTTGTGAAGATGGTGATGAATACAACAATAATGGGAGAAATTGATGCTGAGGTGCGTGGATGGAAGAAGATATGTGTACAACAATGGTGGCTATGAACTAATCAACTTGTGGAAGAAGATGTGCTCTTACTGCTAGGCGAAGAAAAGAAACGAAAGAGGTGAATAAAATTGGAGCGACAACGTGATATGAAAAATTTGGAGCGACTTTTCTGAAATGTGGGCGGGATGCTCTGAAATTTTGGCGCTTCAGATTTGGTCCGTACTCCGTAGAAGCTAATAGGGAAAAACTTTAAGCTTCTAAAAAATTCTCCGTATAAAACTAAACATAGAACTAATAGTGAGAGTACAATTTTTTATATGATCAATAATGAGGGTATTATTTAATGAAAATCCAACTTCCTCATTAAAAGTACACTTTTTTAATGAGAGGGTATTTTCTGTCACAACAAGTGCACAAATAGTACATTTAATGAGGGGATTTCTAACCCGTCATTAATTGTTCGTAGTTAAAAATTCCTTTTCTTGTAGTGTTACCTCTTAAACAGGCAGACGAGTTGGGTCTGCCAGTAGAACGTAATTCTTCCCCCCCAAAAAAACCTTCGCAGCAGCTACAACAGTGACAACAACGCGAGTCTCCATCTCCGGTGAAGCTTGATCTCTGGCGGGCGACGAGGTCTCCTTCATCTTGCCAATAATACTTCACCTCCATCTTCTTCAACACTCTAGGTTAATAAATCTCTCCATTTCCCTCATTTTTCATGTTAGGGTTTAGAATCTTTAAAATTCGATTTTGTAAATTAGGTATTCATTTGTGAATTGATTTGTTGTGTAATGTGAATATGTATGAAATGTTGAATTTTGATGTTCAATTCATTGTAATATTTAGATTTTGTTAAGGTTGTTGTGTAATGTAAATTTGAATGTAATATTTTTTTTGTAAATGTAATATCTTCCCATTGTTAAGTGTATAGATATCATCATATAAGATTGGCTTATATGGTGTGGTGTCAATGAAATGATAAATTTTGGTATATAAAGTGTATATTAATGTGTAAACATGAAATTTGGACATGTATTGTACTTAGAATATGGATTTCTCCAACTTCTCAATTGTGTGTCATTGGGGAGGGAACCTATTTGAGAAAGCAGGCCAAATACGCTATGTAGGTGGTAGGAGTAGCTTTGTAATTATTTCTCGTGGCGCATGTTTGCTTGAGATGCTGCAAAAATCCATATAACTACACAGATTCCTCTGAGCCATTCTTTGCGATTGAAAATGAAATATCCCCTTCACGGGGGATCATACATGCATATGCCACTTGATGATGAGGAAGCTGTCACGAGAATGTGGTTGATACTTCAGATGATGAGTATGTCCACGATGAAGATATACATTGAAGAATCCATAGGTGACGCTTCTATAACTCCCTCAACATCAAATGCTATTGTATCTAGGCATGGTGTCAATGCAGCGGCCTCCTCAAATGTCGTTGTACTGGACATGGTTGTAGAGGAAGATGGGAGGTATTTGCACAATGGTGCCTCATTTTTGGATGACTAGGGAACTGATGATGATGTTGATAATAACATCAATGATGATGAAATGACAGAATCTGATGAAGATGATTGTGATACTGTCACCGCAACTGCCCCGTCTATACACTATATTAGAGTATATGACCTCCCATACGACTTTGATGATGTGTGGAGGAGTGGAACAGGTGTGAATAGGTTCACACCAGACGGTGAGTTTGCGGTTGGTCAACAGTTTGACAACAAAGAACAACTAATTTAATATGGTGAGCTTGTATTCTATCAAACACAACCGGTTTTATCGTGTGCTGGAGTCAGATAAACATAAATGGGTTGCAGAGTGCAACAGAAAAGAGGAACATGATTGCACTTGGAGAATACGGGCCACAAAGAAACATGCAAACCTCGACATGTTCACAGTTGTGCGTTATCCTGGACGTCATTATGATACTTTTGTTGGCAACAACGACTGTGATGATCATGTGGCGATTACTTCTGATTTTATTTCCCGAGATGTTATTGACCTTATTCGCACTGATCCATCGCTTAAGGTCCACACTATTATTGAGTTGATGAAGGAAAATTATGGTTATACGGTTTCTTATAGACGCACATGGTTGGGCAAACAAAAGGTCATTGCTGAAATCTTTGGAGGTTGGGAGAAGTCCTATTCTGAATTGCCCCATTTCATGGCAGCGCTCCAGCATTCCAATTCGGGGACAATTGTGCAATGGTACCCACCCTTACAGGTCCAACTGAGTGTGTCCATTTTCATAGAGTCTTTTGGGCATTCACGCCTTCTATTCATGGTTTTAAGCATTGTCGACATGTTTTGACTATTGATGGCATACGCCTGTATGGGAAATATAAGGGTACATTACTCGTGGCTATGTGTAGCGATGCAAACAACCAACTCTTTCTTGTGGTCTTTGCTATATGTGAATCTGAGAATGGGGATAATTGGCCATGGTTTATGGCATGCATTAGGCAGTTTGTTACAAAAAGGGAATTATGTGTCATTTCTGGTCGACATGAAGATATTATAAAGGGATCAAAGGCTATGACGGAGGTGGGCAGTAGTTGGGAGGAGCCCTTTGTGCACCATAGGCTATGCATTCGCCATCTTGCATCGAATGTGCACACCCATTTCAAAGACATTCACATGAAGAATTTGTTTGTTTGGACCGCCCGGCAACATTAGGGAAAACAAATTGATGGTGGGTTCAACAAGATAGGGGAAATTTGATGGCGGGTTCAACACAAATCATAATTTCTCATTTTTCCTTCTTCATATATTTGGTTTTCCCCCTTTGCTCTATATATAACTCATTTTCATTTTTTAATATAATAATAATCCTCTATCTTTACCATTATACTTTCTTCTTTTATATCTCTACCCTTATTATCTTTCAAGACTAGAAAAATGATTGGAGTTTCAAAGTCCCTAGGAAGCCGCCGGGAGATGGAAAATGAATAGTCGTAGAAGTGATTATCTGTGTCGTTCTAAATATCGCTATAAATTGTCTATAAGAAAAATATAAATTGAAAACGAAGTGAATTTCCAAATCTATAAATTAATAATTTCAAAACAATGCCCGTGCGCAGACTTTAGTTGTCTGTACACAACATTTTTTGCATGTTGCAAACAACCAATGTCTGTGCATAGAAAGCTAATGTATATACACAAACATTGATTTGCGTGCAATTGACACGAGCGTATGAGCGTATCTACAAAAAGAAGAACGCAAACCGAAGTGAATAGTATTTTAATCAGCTATTTTTTGTGCACAGAAATAAATGTCTATGCCCAGACAACTATTGGCTGCATAATTTTTTGTCTACCACAAACAACTAATGTATGTGTTTATCGACATTATTTTTGTCTCCGCACAGACAACTAATGCCCGTGCATATATAGGCAGTGGTTGAATTACTAATTTTTCAATTTTGTTTCCCGGTGTCTTTTCATTCTTGATTATTTTTTAGATATTGAAAAACTTGACGAGGTGAGTAAGATAGAATATGGTAAATTGTCACCCAAGTGATTTTTTAATTTTATAATAAAAAAATAAAATAAAAAGATGAAAAGGAGATGTAGTGATTACATAATAAAGAAATGAAAAAGAATGAGAAGAAAATAAATACTCCCTTTGCCTTAATAAAACTCCATAGTACAAATGCCACGGGAATTAAAGTAGTTGGATTGTGTGGTGGAGAGTTGTGCAAGGAAGAGATAAATATTAGAAAAAAAATTACGACCAAGGTAATTAATGGAAAAAAATAGGAAAAATTGAAAATAATAATCCCAACTATTGTCGGTCCGCTGACAATAATCCCAACTATTGATTATTTTTGTATAATCCCAACTATATAGACTGTCCGCCAATAATGGTCCGTGACTAGATATTACCTCTATAAAAAGTGAATTTTAAATAGAAATTAAGCGTAAAAATTAAAAGTTGAGATTATTTATAGGGATTACTTGTTATATCTCATCCCATCCACTTTAGAAACTACAAGAATTTATTCATAGGGACCATTATTGGCGGAAGGTCCCTAAAGTTGGGATTATTCTGGAATAATCAATAGTTGGGATTATTATGAGCGGACCGCCAATAGTTGGGATTATTACAATCAATTTTTCCAAAAAAATATGAGTGTTTTTTAACTTTACAAAAATGTGACTCTATTCTTCTCTCCCGATCCAAATCTACGCATCTCACCTCCCCTGCGCAATCTGTCTCATCTGTGCCATAGCTCGTTCATCATTGACCTCACAACCTACAATGGCCGCCAGTTGCCTCCCCTGTGCAATCCGCCTTGCCTGCGCCATCCGCTGGTCATCGTCGCCATTCGTATCCTCGTCGCCCGCACCTCTCTCTCCCAAACCGGTTATCTCGCCAAACAACTTCCTTCAACAAAGATGCGGCGGAGATGACAGCTCCACCTCCCGACCGGTTATCTCCCCAGCTCCAAACAACTTCCTTCGACAAAGATGTGGTGAAGATGACAGCTCCACCTCCAAATCGCCATTCCAAATTGCCTCCGTCTATAGTCCGTAGCCTCCGGTTTCCACCGCCCTTGTACGCGCAGTCGCCGTTGTCGACATTGCCATGCCCCTTGCTTCTATTTCTTCTAATTTTCTTCGATTTTAGGGGCTTCACCATCCTTTTTAACACTTAAAATTTCAGATCTGGCATTGGACGGTCGGAATCTAAATTGGTGGAGGTTGTGGCTAGGGTTACTAGCGGAGGTTGTGGGATGGCGGTTGGGAGCTAGGGTTAGGGACTACAGGTTGGGTTTGGGGGCTGAGGGCTGGGGCATTCCGGTGGTGTGGGGCAGCTTGTGGGGGGTGGGGCAGGGCTGAAGTGATGAGCGCAGGGTTGGGGTGATAAGGGCGGAGCTGGGCACGAGTGATGGGGTAGTGCAGGGATGTGGTGATGGTGGTTGGGCAGCCAGGCAGGGAGGCAGGGTGTTGCGGGGAGTGGCGGCCTGTTGCGGCCCACTATGGTGGTGGTCAGCGACTTAACCGGTGGGGCGTTCATTTTAGTGACTAATTCAACAATATTTTTGCGGAGGGAGGCAGTGGCAGTGTCATTGGAAAAATCACCGGAAAAAGTCATCAGAGAATTTTTCGGCCTTCACAGCAACACGTTTCCGGCGACAGAGACACGGGCGGTGGCTACAGTGACACGGGCGGTGGCTACAGTGACATGGGCGGTGGTTACAATGGCACGGACGATGGCTACAGTGACACGAGCGGTGGTTGTAGTGACACGGGCGGTGGCTACAGTGACCTGGGCGGTGGTTGTAGTGACATGGGTGGTGGTTGTAGTTACAAAAAAACGAACACGCAGTGACATAATTTTTTTTGCAGTTACATCATGTTTTCTACCTGCACATATATGACCTTCTTGATCACTTTTTTGTCCCTTTTAAAAGTGTTCACTTTTTGGGTAATTGGTTCAAAATTAGTAATATCCAAGTAAAAACCCCTAAATATTACACCACACACTTTGCCGTATAATATACTCCTGTATGAATTAACATTATGTTTGTCATTACTATATTGTTATTTACATATATAGACCATCATTTTAGTATAAATATTTGAACAAAATATTCTACCTGTGCATCGCAATACTTGACGAAATGCTAGTAGAAATAAGCACAATATTTGAAGCAAAAAAGAAGGCTTTCTGAGGACTGCAATGTGTGTACAAGTATAGAAACAAAAGAAGATAATATAGAAAAAACTTTCTTTGACCATAGAAATGTTTTAAATGATTTTTTAAGGTAATTCCTAGATCTCAAATTCAAAACTATTTTTCACAAGGAGAATACAGAAAGAGATCAAGAGATCATTTGGGAACACTTGGGAATAGATAACGCACTTCAACAAAATTATGAAGCAATAAGGATGCAACTAATGAAATAAAAAAAGAGAAATTTAAGTGTATATACACCTTTAAATATACACCATTAAATTAATGTCATACATTTATAAAAATTAAACGCATAGCTTTTATTAAACGTCTTCAATATATTAGGACTGATATAACCTTTTAATATTTGGGATTCCTGTTCAGTAGTGCGCTATTCGCTTCCAATAGTTCATGTTAAGGACTGCAATAACCAGTCGTGCCTCTAACATTTGCATATATTCCCAAACAACCAACTCAAAAAGTAATTGCTCAAATAACTTTATTACTATTTACGAAGATGTCCTTAGCATTATTGAGCACTAACCATATGAACCAAAATCTATTTCAAATTCTTGCTAAAGCATGTTATGACAATTGACAGTACTACTTGTTTAGGCAAAGAATAGGTTCTTCGAAACAATTAATTGAATATGGGAATTCGCACAAGAAGCTATATATGAACAAATGATTTTTGAATGAAAATAAAGAATGCTCAATAACTTAGAAGCTCGTATGAGTAATATTGATAATCAGTCCTCCGCTTGTTTACATTGTATTCCCCTTAAATAGATGTCCTTCTATTCCTATGTGCTCTCTAACTGCCCACCGAAATAGGAGGCCTCATTTTGAACGTGTGCTGCTTTCTTTTCCTCCAAGTTCACTCGTTCTTATCCGATCTACTTCTTCATGTTCTAACGGGCTGGAGCATCAAACTAATTAATCAGTCATGGGCCTTGCTACTGGACGGATTTTCCTTGGCCCAACAATTGCCCCCATTCTGAGTTTTAGTTGGCTTTGGACTCAATCTTTTGAAAAACCAATTAAGACTCAGAATCCTCTATGATCTTCTCTCTACTTTGGAATTATCAAAATCGATTGCCTTCATTTAAAGCTCAAACTTTTGCTTCGTCTTCCTCACATCATTCCCGAAGACCTAGTAGCATTCGAACTCCATGAATCTGCAAAACTTCGTCCCCATGTCCATTCTAGAACCGAAGAGTGCAAAACAAGCTAAACTCACCGAGGAGCAAGTAGAACTCATCCAAACTTCCGCCGGTTTTCCTCCCAAAGCGACTATCCGTTTTCCAGCGGCGAATGAATGAATGGACTGGTTCTGTCCCGGGTGGGTTAATTTCTTGTATTATCCCTTCAAGATTGGGATGAAATTCCCCTTTTCTCCCCTAACCCGAGGCTTTTTGGAGTTCGTCAACCTTTCGCCTTCCCAAATCATGCCTCAGGTGTGGAGGATCCTGCTTGCATTGGAGGTGTTAAGCGAGAAATACAGCATTCCTTTTGAGTTTGAGGACCTGGGTTTCACTTATGAGCTTCAAACATCTGGTCCTGGTAGATTCACGTTAGCGATGAAGGATAAGAAACCAAGGCTTATCCACAAGGTTGATAAGGCAAACGACAGAGGCTTGATGCACTGGTACTTTTTCGTTCTCAAAGACTCACTTGGCAATGATGGATCCTTTCTTGAAGATAACCTGCAAAAAGGTATACAAAAATTTCTCGTTCTTGGCCTTCTGTTGCCGTTAGTTTCCGCTTATTTTTTTTATTATCACTACTATTATATACATGTGCACCATGATTTTGAAGTTGCTTTGTAATCCTCTGTATTCTAGAAAAGAAAGCAATTTCCCTTCCTTCTGGGCCGAAATCGAAAGAGAGAACTGCACAAATTCAGGCTATCCCTGTTCAGGAGCGTTGGTTTGCTAATCTTGTTGCTGAATCCCCAGGTACATTTCCTTCTCCCACTTCTACTAGACCTACCAGGTTGAGACACTCTGTCCGCTTTATTTCAACAAAAAGTGAATTGATGCCAACCCCCTCTGTAGTCTCTCTTGAAGAATCGGGACAAGATTCTGACGGCTCCAAAGATGTCGAAGAAGAGAATATAGATGTGTATATTCCCATGCAGGTTGTTTTTCCGGTGGGTGAAAGTTTTCAGACGGCTCCCAACAAATGTCCCCCTCTGTCTATTGGTAAGTATTGAAACAACTTTTGATTAAAACTGCCCAAATGTAGTGTAATTGCTTTTCCTGACTCCATCTCCTGGCTTTTGCTTTGTTGCAGCGGCTACGTCTTCTTCCAGCTCCCGTTTGGCTCCATCCGCTCATGAATTGCTTGCTCTAGCCTCTAGGAAGAAAAGAGTCTCTCCCAGATTGGCTTCCACTCCTCAGAAGCTTCCTAAGTTGGCCATTGCTGTCGAAACAAAACCAAACATACCTCGTCCTCATGAGATCAAAACTGTTCCGGTCTCCAAGTCACTGGATGTAAAGATGTCACTTTCCCCTGACTTTTGTAGTCTACAAGATGTGTCCCTGATGAGGGGAGAGATGCACAAGCTCATCCTTCCTTCCTCTCCAGATGTTTTCAAATGCCTGCCTCCTGTTGGATTACTGTCTGCGTCTTCGGCCTATGCTTTTCAGGTAACATGATTTTGTTTAGTTCTTTCTTTGTAAGCAGCCTACTGATGTGATGGTATGATCTGTCAGAGCTTGCAAGCGAGTCTGGTTGCTGCTGAGAGAGTGGCTTCGTTGGAGAAAGCTCTTGACGAGTCCAAGCATACGGAATCACTTTCCCGCTCTCTACCGGAAGACAACGCCAAGCTAGTTCGGGATTTGCAAAAGGAAGTGACAGCTCAATCTACACAAATTTCAAGGCTTGTTGATAGGGTTAAAGCGCTAGAAGCTTATGGGCGGAAAAAGAAGCAAGAAGTTATTGATGTGGCCTGCTACTATGTCTGGCAAACCCGGGGAGAACTAATGGCCTCCTTCCTCGCAGGGGAGTCAGCCAACTGGACTGCTGAAGAAGACGTTGCAACTTGGAAAAAGGTTCAGGAGGACATGGATCCCCCTTTTGCTGAAGATGGCTTTGATGTGGGTCACTCTGATGGTGAGGCCGACTCCAAACTTTCTTAGACTGCTTAATCTCTTATGACAATTCGACAAAACATTTTTTGGCTCTGTTCCCGGTATCCCGGTGGTTTATCCAGGATGGGAAGTACTCTTGACGCTTTAAGCTAGCGCACTTGGTAGTTTATCCAAGGCCTAGCTTCTTATTTTGCTGTGTTTGATGTGAAAACTTTGATGTGTCTGCTTTTGTTATCTTGTGTGTGCGCACTAGTGTTGTCATATATGTGTAGATATATGTGTTGTCATGTATGTGTGTTGATTTTGGCCAAAAACATATATGTTGTAAGGGTCGATTGGGACTGTAATCCATGATACTCTCATGGGCAGCCCAACCCTTTCCCTTTTTATGTTAGTGTACAATACCCAATTGGTAAGAATATGAATGACGCTTTCCATCCTTTGTGAATTGGTCCTCCGTCGCTTGTCTTAAATTGACCCTGCACTCATCACAAACTGTCAAAGCTGGCCGTTGGCTTTGAGCCAACGGCCCTCTGATGGTTGAGTCAGTAAAAAATTAGGAATGTGTCTTAAAGACGATATACATACTACATATTCGACATGTCACAACCTTCCTTGCTTATCAAGATAATGGTAGAGTGCTTCCTTAGTGTACCAAGGATTTACCAGTTTACCAAGTACAAAATAATTCAAAGGAAAATGCAAAGACTATTAAAGAAACAACATTTTAAGCAGCCTTAACGTATTCTAAATCAGTCACCAAGACTTAAAATCGATATAAGATTTTTCAGATTAAACTCACTGACCTGTCAAGAATCAAATTAAAAGATAAGACAAAACTTCTAAGTGACGTACAGACTGACCATGACGTTTTGGCAGATCCATCATACCAATATGTCATGGTTCTCTAACCAGCCTTCCAAGGCCGTATAGCATATCAAAGGGACTTACTTAGCGCCTCTTTTGGTTTCCTGCACTTCATAGTTTTGTTAGGTTCGGCCGTTGGCTTTTAGCTAACGGCCCTCCGATGCTTAAGTTAGTGCCTTGTTCGAACGGATAATTAAATAAGACATAAGAGAATTTAGAAATGGAAAAGTTTTAAGTGTACCGCATTCCAGCTTCTAGGAATCTGTTTACCGTCTACTGATTCCAAGCGATATGCCCCCTGTCCAATAATGTCGACGATCTTATATGGACCTTCCCAATTGGGGCTGAATTTCCCATTTGCTTCATTTCCAAATGCTCTTCTCAAAACCCAACCTCCTCTCTTGAATACCTTTACCCGAACGTTCTTGTTAAAACTCTTGGCCACCATTTGTTGGTAGGACTGTAGACGAATCTTAGCCTTCTCTCTAATTTCGTCAATAGTGTCAAGATCATGTATTAACTCGACGTTGTTCCGTTCTTCAGTCATAAGCCCGTATCTTGAGGATGGCACTTCAACTTCTGCAGGTATGACCGCCTCACAGCCATACACCAAGGAGAAAGGGGTCTGTCCGGTCGCATTCTTTGGAGTCGTTCTGTCAGCCCATAATATCAGGGGTAACTTGTCAGCCCATCTGCCTTGCGCTTTCTCAAGTCTCTTCTTCAAATTGGACACAATGATTTTGTTGCTGGACTCGGCTTGTCCATTGGATTGCGGGTACCTAGGAGTAGATGTCTCCAACTTGATGTTGTACCTTTCGCAGAAGCGTCGGGTTTTTGCACTTATGAACTGGGACTCGTTATCACACACGATCTCTGACGGAATGCCAAACCTGCAAAGTATATTTCGTCTGATAAAAGATATTACCTGTTCATCGCGTACCTGACGGAATGGTTCAGCCTCTACCCATTTGGAGAAATAATCCGTCATTGCCAACATGTAAACCTTCTGACCCGGAGCATCTGGCAGTTTCCCAACAATGTCCATCCCCCACTTCATAAAAGGCCATGGCGACAGGACTGGATGAAGCGATTCAGAGGGTTGATGACGGATTGGTCCGTGCTTCTGACAAGCCTGACAACTTTGGGTGAAAGTGATTGCATCATGCCGCATTGTTGGCCAATAGTATCCAAATCGGAGAGCCTTGTTAGACAGACTTCTCGCTGCGGCATGGTTTCCACACTCCCCTTCGTGAAGTTCCCTTAACACCTTAGCGGCTTCTTGAGGTGCCAAACATCTTTGGTACGGACCTGCCTTAGATCTTTTAAACAAAACATCATCAATTAATAAGAATTTAGTTACCTTGGAGAGGAACGCCTTAGCTTCTTTTTTGTCAACTGGCAGAATGTTGTGTCTCAGATATGCTATGTATGGCTGCATCCAGTTGTCTTGTGAGGACGGATTGATAGTACTGACGGATTCCGATCTGTCAATCGCCGGACTCGACAGGTGAACGAAAGGGATGTTACTATTGACCTCTGCCCCCAGACATGACCCAATCGCAGCCAAAGCGTCGGCCTATGTGTTCTCTTCTCTTGGTACTTGTTCAAGTGTGATTTCGTTGAACCATGCCATCAACTCCGTGACAATTCGTAGATAAGACGTCATCTTGGGGTCTTTCGCTGCATAAACACCATTAGCTTGGTTAACTATTAATAAGGAATCACACTTTACCTGGAGCAGCTTGACACCTAAATCCTTTGCCAAAGTTAAGCCTACGATCAATGCTTCATACTCTGCTTCATTATTTGTGGCATTAAAATCACAATGAAAGGCTTGGAGCATAGTGTCCCCCTGTGGCGACTTTAGCACTATGCTCAGACCTGCTCCATTTAAGTTCGACGCCCCGTCTATGTGCAATGTCCACTTCTGTTGAGGCAGTCCGTCCGTGATGACGCATGCTTCCTTTTCAGCTTCGGTTTGGAGCTTAGGGCTAAAGTCCGCCACAAAATTAGCAAGCGTCTGGGACTTCAAGGCAGTTCGTGGTTCGTATCTAATGTCGTAGGCTCTTAACTGAATTGACCATTTGGCCATGCGACCTGACAACTCTGGTTTCCTCATGATTGATTTCATGGGATAATTAGTGCGCACACAATTAGTATGTGATTCAAAATATGGACGTAATTTAACCGATGCAGTAATCAAAGCTAAAACCAATTTCTCAAGTAAGGCGTACCTGGTTTCGGGCCCATTCAGTGACTTACTTACATAGTATACCGGTATCTGCATTCCGTCATCTTCTTTGGTCAATACGGCGCTGACAGCATGCTCTGAGACGGCCAAATACAGTTGAAGCTCGTCGCCCTCCTTTGGTTTTGTCAACAGCGGCGGGGTTGTCATATATTCCTTCAATTGTTGAAGTGCATGCTCGTGCTGATATGTCCACTCAAACTTCTTGTTCTTGCGAAGTACGTCATGGAAAAGGCGACACATGTCGGATGACTTGGAAATGAAGCTGTTCAGAGCAGCAACTCGACCTGTCAGCCTCTGCACGTCTTTGACTGACTTTGGTGATTCTATGTCAAGAATAGCTCGGACCTGCTCCGGGCTTGCTTCTATTCCCCGTTCGCTGACGAAATATCCCAAGAATTCCCCTGATGACACACCGAAAGCACATTTCGACGGGTTGAGCTTCAGGTTGTACTCTCCCAATCTCTTGAATGATTCCGTGAGGTTGTCAATATGGTCCTCAACTTTCTTTGTTTTGACGATCATATCGTCTATGTATACCTCCATGGTTTTTCCGATTTGATCTTTGAACATCATGGTGACGAGCCTTTGAAACGTCGCACCTGCATTTTTAAGACCAAATGGCATAACAACATAGCAATACGTACCTGTTTCAGTAATGAAGGCCGTCTTTTCTTGATCTTCGGAATGTAGCCGAATTTGGTGGTATCCGCTAAAGGCGTCCATAAACGAGAGCATCTCATGTCCGGCAGTCGCATCGGCTAATACGTCAATGTGTGGCATCGGGAATGAATCCTTTGGACATGCTTTGTTCAAATCGGTGAAGTCCACGCACACTCGCCACTTTGCTTTTTTGCATTTTGTTGCCTTCTTCTTGACAACAACGACGTTGGCCAAGCAATCCGGATATCTGACCTCTCTAGCTTTCCTGGTTTGGAGAAGGGCTTCGACATCCTGGTTTATGATGTCATTCTGCTCCCTTGCAAAATGTCTTCTTCGTTGCCTGACGGGTTTACATGACGGATTGACATTTAACTTGTGCGTGATGATTTTTGGGTCAATCCCTGTCATGTCTTTATGACTCCAAGCGAATACGTCTTTATGTCGCTTAAGAAACTGTACCAACTCAGTTCTGAGGCTTGTTGATAAGTTTGTCCCGATGCGGATGACCCGTTCTGGATGCTCGTTGTCAATGACTACTTCTTCCGTTTTTTGTCATCTTCCTCCAAAGCTGGGTCACCCTTTAGTTGCTATGCTGAAGTTGGTGGATTTGCTGTGGGCTTCATGGCCGTCTGATAGCAAGACTTGGCCACCACCTGGTCTCCTCGAATGGACTCTATTCCCCAAGGCGTCGGAAACTTGACGACCTGGTGATATGTTGACGGAATGGCTCCCATTTGATGTAACCATAGGCCATAGCGTCCCCAAAATCATGTTATAGGCTGGGAGGTCTTGAACTACATCGAACCTGACCTGCACATTAAGACCGTTAGCATAAACAGGGAGAGTTATATTACCTACGGTTCAGCTTGGCTCTCTATTGAAA